AAAAATCTATTAAAACATAATATAATAAAAGAGTGAAGCAGTTCCTGCAGTGACTATTATAAAATATTCTATTGCATTTCATGGAATTCTATTTTATATGTCTGTATACTCTGTATTTATCCTCATATGTCATTATCCGTTATTTAATTTCATCTGATTGCGAATTATCTGCAACTATTTCCGTCTGTTTCCTCTATATGTGTCAACATTCATATATGCTTTACCCACATATCGCGTATGCTTTGAATTCCGCGTTTCATGTGAAAATGTATCCGGGTAATGAGAACTTGAGTATTCCCCGAAAGTCGAGTAATTACCCGGATGCGCGGTGTATCCGGGTAACCGGATATCAATATCTCGAGTCTAAACTCATTGCTCCTCCGCCAAAAGTGAGGCTGAAGTGCCATTTAACTGCAGGTAATGTTCTCGCGAGAGAATATTGCGCAATAGATAATTATTAAAACGGGAAATAAGAAGGTATAAAGACAGAGATAGAAATTAGGAGATGCATCCGTTATGAGATCTCGTGCGATCGGATAGGCGAAAGATCGGTTATATAAGATTAACAAATAAATAACGAGTACGGGAATGCAGTTTCGCGGCACGACACTGACGATTATGACGCATGGATATTTGAATAAACGGCGGAACAAAATTTTATCGCCCGTTCCACGGAATATCGGCGCAACATCGGTTTTATTACGCGGCCGGTACATCGACAAGTCAAGTGCAACGCGACATATACATTTCCCAGATAGCGTACATGAAAATGATGCCGGTTTTCCCCAGGCGGCCAGTTTTTCGTAAAGAGTACACACGACCGAGCCGGATATTGGAATTTTCAATGTCCTGTGCCAGGGGGGGGGGAGGGTGGGTAACTATAGAAGAACATTATAGTGCATCGAGGTGCAACGGGTCGCGTGATTCATCGCGCAGAGAACGCAGCATGCATGCGTCGTTGCACATTCAACAGCGGATTTCGCTTCTTCCAGTAAAATTATTCCTGCTCGCGTTGTGTTTTATTAATCGTTTCGTTTGTGCGAACGCCTAATTTTACGTCCGCCAATTTCGCTTCTTTTACGCTCGTCTTTTTCTGCCGTGGAACGTAATGCATACCACACGGATGCTATATTTGACTGCTTATATCTATATTATATAGTACTATATTTGAGGCATCCGTGAGATCCTGTACGTAATTCGTCCATTATGTAAATGAGAGATTCGGTATGTGTATAAACTCTAGTGCAACATCGCCATGCAAGCATACGATAAACACGCTTGTTTGCTATTCAATTAGGGCTTCTTTCTCAAACGTGGTAAACATGTAAGAAGCTATTAAAAAAAATTTAAGGTTGCTCTCACAGCTTCGCGATATAAGATCGATGTAAAATATTTGCCCCGCTCGTTTCATAGCGCTCTCTAAAATATATGAGAGCTTTATGCACAGTTTTATATCACGAGGAAAATATTTGGTATAGGAAAAACAGAGTTACTTTGTGTGTAAAAACAGTCGCCCTATTGATATTATTAGATTATATCTGCGTCATTAAATTTTACGCGCGGATTAATAGTAATTAACGGTGATTTGTTAATCATATTGTGAAAAAGAATGTAATATCTGCAAAAATAAAAATTTATACGGTTATATGTTCACATGTAAAGCATGTGGTTTTTTATTTATATAAAAATATGGTAAAAACATGTTGGCTGAAAAAAAAGCAGGAAATATATTCATTAAAACTGAAAATTAGAAATACAACCCGTTTGATTAAAACGTTTTCACAAACAGAGCGATAACACAGAAATATTTTAATTGTACGTATCGTTGTGCGGCCGGCTGGCTTTATATGAGGTCCACTTAGCAAGCACTTTCGTTAAACTAAAATTAAGTGTGAAATATACGCATTAGGTATGCATATGTGCAAATTGAAAAGTCCGCATACAAATTGAATGCGCTTTATTTTCATTCGCGATGTCTGCCCGAAAGATGAGCTCGCTTGAAATAAAAGCGCCATGAAATTTTACTGCATTCAATATAATGCACTTTTTTTTATTGAAACTTTATTGCTCTTTCCCTGTCCCCATCCAATCGCGCTTTATGTTAAAATATTTCGCAATATGTCGCTATTTTGACTGTTTCATGAAATCGTGAAATATGTCATTATTATATGCATATTTAATGTTGACGTTACTAAAACGAAATCGTTGCTAGTCACATGCAACTCTTTTCAAAGTTACATACTATGATTTAGTAGTACTTTTAATATTATTGTGAATACGATATTATTATTATTATTGTTATTCTTTAACGAATTAAATTGTTAGTTTTAAACATTAAAGCAAATTGTTATATAATTATTCTATTATTATCTATCAACTATATCATTACTATTACCGTTGAACACATAATTTTGTCGGAATTATTACAAATAATATATGAGTAAAGCAAAACAAGTTTTATTAAATAAGATGCTCCACAATTACTCTATTCAGTATTTTAGTAGCGTATTCCGAAGATTAATTTAAAATATCGTGATAATGTCGAAGTCACAAGTTTCTAAGTTATAAAGTGATTAAAGCTTGATCAATTCTATCGTGCATTATTGATTCTTACAGATAACATTAAATTTTAATTTAGTTAATTTTATCTTTTAATTTCTTATATGCAGATATCATGTGCACTAATCAAGTCAGCTAAAATATTGTTCTCATAATCTGTGAAACGTTATACTTATTTGTAACATCTTTAAGTTTTAACTACTCAAATTAATATGTATGACATAATTCTTACAGATCTGTACGTTACTTCGAATTAAAAAACATAATTCGTGTATTTTACGATAAAATAATTTAACACACATCTCGATACGACGCACCGGAATTAATAATACAACACAATAATGTATATTGATTGATTTGTAAAATATTTTCATTGTAATACAGAACATTTAAAATAATTAATTTTTAAAAATAGTGTTACATAAGAAATAATTTACAAATATCATAATAAAACGACAACTTACAAATTTTATATTCTGTTACTTCGATTTCTACTGCCGATAAATAAATCGAATTAAATATCTGTTAAATAATTGTCACCTCGACAAGTTTACAAATTGTGTATATTTTTAATAACGTGTATATTTTTCAATCTTGCTTTTTCGATGAAAATCGCATTGTAACGTATTATACGTAGTGATTCGATGCATCTATAAAAAGGGCTGCCAGCGTTGCTACAGTGCATTGCAACAGTGAAACCGATTAATTTATTGCTAGTCGTAAAACGTTTGCAGTAAATTTCAACGTTGCAACGACAGTTACATGACATAAAACGTCAACACTGAAATTTTTAATTGTATCGGACGGTTGCGTATTGAACGAATGTTAATTGTTGAATTGTTTTTACATACGAAATATGACTTAGTAAATAAATGCAGCTTAATAACTGCTCGTATATTTATGAATATTAAATATAGACAAAACGAAAGAGACAGAAAGAAGGAGCGAGAGAGAGAGAGAAAGATCAATTTTATAAAAAGTATTCAAATATTGCAAAATATAATATTGCAGACATTAATGCGAAACCTAATCGAGATCACGAAAGTTCAAACTAGAAGAATTTTTACAATATTGTAGATTTTACGATAAGTATTATTACACTAAATTATTTAGTGTTATTATCGTTGACATTTCCATTATATCGTAAGTCGTGTTTATACTTACACAGACATTATTTTAAAAAAATTCTTACGTCATATACAAGATTTAATCCTTTGTGTTACCCAACATAATGAAAAATTAATTATTGCGCTGTTATCCTGAGTCTCGTACGCTCGCCACAATTTAATACTCCATTACATTTTTTTGTGAATTTGTTGTTGCGACGTTAGATTAAATAACAAAATAAAATCGCGACGGAGAAAACATTTCTACGCTGCGGTTGGCTCGATGACATTTAGTTGCCTGTGTGTCGCAACATAATACCTTTTTCTCATCGCAAATTTCATACAACTTTTCTTTACGCCTCGGTACTATTGCGATGTGTTGATTAAAAAAAATATATCTACATGCTGGAGCAACTAGTTTTAAAAAATGTTATATAACCTGTAATAATTTTACTTTACAATTTGTGAAATATCAAAAGGTAAACAGTAAATAATATTTTTTATTTTTCTTTTCTTATAGAAAATTTTTATTTATTCATGAGAGACTTGTAAGAATGATCGGTCGTGGAGAAATGGATCGTATTTCACGTGAGAGATATAAAAAGAGACATAAAGAGAAAAGATTTCTATTGAAAAATTAAAAAAGTAATGTCTTGATTGTCGTGTATTCGACCAGAGATTGTCTTCCATCCGTATGACAATGGTTAGCTTGTCTCAAAATCAATGAATGCAATAAAAAACATCTCTTTGTTCTCGCAAAAATTTGTAACGGAAATATTAGATAGATATCAATTTTTTTACATCACAAATTGACTTTAAATCTGCAAATTTATAAGTAATTCATAAGAACGTGTTCGTTGTCTAGTAACGTATCCTCCAACCAAAAGAAGAACAAATCGATTAGAGATATTTTACTGCATATAATATGTACATGTATATATATATATATATATATATATATATATATAATAACAATTTATATATATATATATATAAATTTTTGTTACTATAAATTCACTGTCTGTATGATGTATATAGATTATACGAGAATACTTTATACTCTTTACAGATAAAAACGAAAGTGCAGGTACACGCAAATTACGTCTACTAGAATTTTTATACGTATCGATCTTACGGAGTATATTCAAAGATAGTGTTGTGTAAATAAATACGCTATTAGGGGTGAGAACGGAGAACACACGAACAGTTGCGTTTGCAACTCATCGCCGCCCTCTCTATTCCGATGTTTCTCCCTTTGTTCGCCACTTCGCGCCACCTCGAATTCCCCCGGCACGCATAACTTACTCACGTCCCCGTTTCTCTATCGTGTTTCAGGAAGATGCGGGCACGGATCGCCCTGCGAGCAGCTCTGCTACGAACTCCACGACGGCATGTACGAGTGCGACTGCAGGGACGGCTACATACTTCATAAAAATGGATACAGCTGCGCCGGTGAGTGTGACTCGATCCTTATCCCGCTTTGCAATTCGCATTCATGACGGGCGACATCTTTGATTTCCCTAATAAAATTTTGCGTTGCGCCGCCATGGCCGCTAAAACTTTTTGATGCGACGCCCGTATTGTTTCCGAAGCGTCGCATCGCTCCCCTGTCTGCCGCTGCTGTTGAATCCCTCGCTCGAATCCCGGAGAGTTTTGTTCCAGAAGTATCCTTCAAGCGCGGATTGTTATTATCTCTAAACTGCTGGTAATATTTTTTTGATAACACCATTGCAGTTTTACCAGGTTGGAAATCCATCGAAAGTTCGAAAGTTTTAGAAATATATTTCAAGAGTTTTTATAGTTTTTTTAGTGATTATCTTCTCTTTCTTTAACTACATGAGACACATTTCGATTCGAAAGCTTTACAGCGATAAAATTATCTGTGCTTTCGATCAGATTTCTTTGTCCAGATAATTTTCAAACTATTCTTGATTTACTTCTTGCATCTCTGAATTAAATTTTCTGAGAACATTTTCTTTTACTTTAATTTTTGTGTTTTGTTATTGTAAAATTGCATTTCTAACTGCAAGCGTAAAGCTCCTTTCTCAGTGCAGCCATATGAAATTGTAGAAAGCAAGAAACGAGATGAATTCTTTTCCAGCTGTTTGAAATAAATTAGTTTTCTCGCGTGTCATTACTCGTATCCTATTGTGTGAATTGTGTAGATAATATATCAAAAGTATCTTTTTTTATTATTTTGCATCAATAAATATAGAACATATCAATAAATATAGAATTCATCTGTATATGAAGAATTATCAATTTCAATTCAATTAACAATTTCTTACAACAATTATTCGAGTTTTCTAGCTATTCATTAATCTGCTAATCAAAAAGAATCTTCGATATATTTTCTAATTTATAAGCCATTCTGTCGAACATATAATGACACACGAAAACATTAATTTACTTTGATATAAACGTGTATTGCAAGAAAAAATTTTATATAACTTCTTTTGATACCATAATTGGCATAATTTAACAAGAATGTTAAGAAACAAGAACAATGCGTTTTCAAGTCGAACAAAAATTTCAAGTAAATCATTCTTGTACATACAAGAGAAGAAATAAAATTTCTAGTTATGTATTTAATCATTAAAAAATAAAAAAAAGATATAATTTTTTATTCACATTTCAATTAATTTGTAGAAGTAATATCTAGCGTAATAACTTGTATTACGCGCAAAATTTATTTATCGCGCCATCGAAAAATTACGAGGTAAAAAGCACGCGCGCGGTGGTTGCAAATTTATCTCGACAATCTCAAGTTCAAGCTGTTTACAGTGCCATGCCCGTATTAAAGGTAATATCTCATTTCGCGTGGAATTGCGCGGAATACATTTCGCGTCGGGCTTATGAAATACGGAGAGAAGGCATTGTGAAAGAAAAATACGGTAAAATTATCCATAAATCACAAAGAATTTTGGGGACAGCTATGATTTATCGTTAGTTTAATCTTATGTAAGGGTTTTTATGTGTCACGTGGCAAAAATGTTTCGAACCACAAGCGTTATCATAAATATGATACGTGTAATCGATTTTGCGCAATAGCATTTACGCAAAATAGATTGCATGTAAGTAACGATCATTTTTTTTATTTCAACAGATACGATGGTTATTCGTTTTGCTTGTAGTTTTCGAGATGTGGAAAGCATAACTAACATTTCACGTTACCTTTTACATTATATTTTCGCGCATTTTTGCTTTAAACGGAGAAATAAAACCATTGTATTTAAAAGAATGTGAAATGTTTAAAAAATTCGTACTTTTTAACTGCATTCGCGCATTTTGATCGCACCATGTACGGTGCCATCAAACTGACTTATAGTATAAAGTATATTACTCGATGCAACTGTTGCAATAAAATTACGCGGTTCCGTTTACCCAATAGACGTTTTTCTCACGAGCGAACGCGACAGGAAATTTGGTGGGAAGTTCGCCGACGATCGCCTCCGTTAATTGCTTTCCGATTGATTGTTCGCGGAATTCCATTATTACAGTCTGTCCACGATCGGAATGCTTATCTCGGTACACTCGCGACCAAAGTTTTCTTTCATTATTCACATCAACCACTTCTTTTTTTTAAAGAATTTAAGAAAAAAATACGGTTTTCAAAACTCATTGCATTTCGATTTGTCGAAAGTGATATTTTTAAAAGTAGGATCGCAGGATTTGCGTAGATCAAAACAGTCGATAAAAAATTACATCGAGATCAAAATACCTGCTAAACCATAATTCGTTTTAATTGGAACACGAGAACGAATCGCAAAGAGGAAATTACATTACTTGTAACACGTTCAGTCGCTTATCATATTACGCAAAGCATAACTCTCGCAGTTAATGAATGATAAAGGCTTTCATCGATTCTTTTTTTAGTAGAGAATATCGCATAATTATTGCAGTTCAAAAAATGAACTTGTCCATTTCAATTTTGACTATTCTGAAACATTCGTTATTATCGACCGAAAATGTATTCAAGTCTTACTATATTTTACGTGCGAGTGAAATATAAATTTGTTCCTCGTTTTTACCTTAACTCGATCGAACGCAATCATTATACGAACTTTAATGTTGTTTATTGGTTTTACTACGTATCTATTAAGAACATCTCATCGGGCAACACGATAAATTCAACCGCGTCGAATTTTTACTGCGATTTCCTCTATCCGTTGTTCGCTTGAATCTAATCGTGCGATCTAACTAACATGGATGCTGGCATCCTCGTCCCTCCGCTCTCGGATCTCTCCTTCGGATTTAATTTCGCGGCTGGTAAAACTCCAACATCTTTTATTTCTACTCTCCGTCCAGCTCCTGCGCGCTGAATCTGATGGTACCGCCATTGTGAATACTTTCTTTCCCGCTGCCTGCACGAATCCAAATCGATCCGCTGTCTTGCGCTAATTGTACTCCCTCCAATACGGCAGAGCCTGCAAATCTGATTCTTATATTGATTTTGTCCCTGATTCTGATTCACAATCTGGCGATCTCCGCCCATGGTAAATCGGATAAGTCAATTTCTTCCTCTGTTCCTGGCTCAAGATCACCTCTCTCTCCCTTCCCTTCTGGAATCCGCTAATTCCGGGGATGATAGAATCTCAACGTCCTCTATCTCCACATTCGATAATTTTGATTACATTGACTCCGTTATTAACTTTAATGTCTAATCTGGCAAGCTTGTGCGAATTTTTTCCGCCTTTTTTTCCATTGAATGAGATGGTAATGTCAACGTGTACGTTTCCTCCTCTGTTACCACCTTCGCTACGTATCCAGAGATTGTTCCTTCATATCGCATTAATTCTGCTTTACCTTCTTTGAATGCCGTAGATTCCACGTACCTGATTGTTCCATTGATTTTACCACTAAGTGTAATTCTTAACTTCGCGAGAGTTTTACCGGAGGTAAACCAGCCAGGTCGATTTTCTTGAGACCTACCTAGGCATTTCTGTTCGAACAACACGAATTTCGGTAATCTTGCCAATAACTTTTGCTAGGTCGGCATCTTGACGATTTGCTCCGTCGACGACTTCGCGAGAATAACTATCTACGATGATTTGGGGCTAAAATTAATTGGACACCTGGTAATTGAACGTCTATTTTACCTAGCCTTCGTTTCATTTCAGTTTTTACTCCTGTTCCTTTTTGTTAATCAATCTTTCCCTATTACCTTCCACGAAAAGCATTATTCCATTTATAGTATAATCAACGAGCAATTTAACTGTTTAAATTAAATGTTAAATATAAGATGAGATCCAATATCGATAATTTGATTGGAAGAGCATATTAATTAGATATTCTTTTTAATAAGATGTGAGAAAAATTATTGACATTGTATTCAGAATAATCTATTCTGTATTCTGAATTATGTCTGTTATTATTATTTCTGAATAAGGATTGTCGATAATAATTCATTTCTACGACTACGTGGTATGTTTATACTTGTAAGAGGTACATTGCAGCGATTTTTCGTCTTTGAGCGGCAAGTTTGTCACTGTTGCGATGGCAAAGAATATCACAAACTTATAACCTGTAAATAATTCATCATTTCATACATTAAATAAGCGATCACAAAAAAGATTATAAATTGTTATAGTTAAAAAATTATCTAATCTCATTATTAAATTTTATTGCCTATATAATGTTATTTTTTTGGATATTAATATTAGATAATATTTAGATATTGTTGATTTATTCACTATAGATAATAAAGTAAATAAATGTAAATAAATAAGCATTACTGACAATAGATATCTCACAGAGTGTTCATTAAACTATATTACAAATAATGAAATTATTTGGAATCGATAAGTGATTACTAATTGCTTATCAGATTATCGCTAAAAGCGTTGAGAGATAAACTGTCTGATTGACGATTCGCTACCTCCTTCCCTCCCTGCCTCCCTTTCTCCCTCCTCTCTCTTTCTCTCTCTCTCTCTCTCTCATTTTTGTATCCGATATGTATATTTACATTGAGCTCTCTATTGACATTCACTGAGTTTTGTTTATTATAATTGTAATTCGAGTTGTAATTGTTTTAATGCTTGAGGGATGTCATTTTAGAGCACTCAATAGATAATGATTTATCTCTCTCTCTCTCTCTCTCTCCCCCCCTCTCTCTCTCTCTCATACATATAATTAAAATATATATTCATTATTAAGACATAATTTTTTTTGTTTATAAAAAAATATGTATGTATAAAATAATTGTTACCGAAAAGCGGTTACAAACGAGTATATTTAAAAATGAAATGCATGCGCGATTGTGGAGCTTATTTCATGCGCAAACACAAATAAACATATTCGCATATTTTAATTACATTTATGCAATTAATCAACAAAAAATCAAGCTTTTATAAAATTGCGTACACATTTTATTTTATAAAGCAGTATAAATGATTTTAAAAATTCATTTTGATGTCCTGAATTGGCAGAATTGACTCTGTCCAAAAATAATT